GATACTGTGGGGCTGTGAATGGTTGTGCTGCTGTTCTCCTACCAGACCAAATCCATCTTTGATGTTACCAAGTATGCCTTCTGCGTACTCATTCATAGAGCAATACATTGAACATGTAAAAACTTGATGTAACTATATTCCAGGAAGTTAAATACTGTGAAAAGAAAGTTCTCCTTGCATAACAGGAGGACACAAAGCAAGCACACGATGAGCCCTGGCATCCAAATGAGAATCTTTGGATCCATGCAGGTCAAGGGCTGTTCACGTTGAACTTGTTATGAACAGTATGTTATGAAACAAGCTCTGCAGTTCATCCCAGTGTGGGTGACTGGGAGAAGTGCTGGAATGTCATGAATGCTAATTAGACAAGATGGACATAATGAGACCCTTGTAGTATTTATAGGTCTACCTGGAACAATGGCTGTTCAGAGTGACACATTGCAGAGAGACAGGAGACGGGAGAACTAAGGCTGCAAATAGATAAGATGAAACTTTAAAGAAATATATACATTCAAACACAATTTCTAAGAAATAAAAAAATCTGAGAGGATTTCATGCATAGTTCTTTGAAGTGTGGAAGTTATACAGTGATAGAAAAGAAATTGAGTTGATTAAATGTAACCTCATTGTAAGGCTGGACTGGAATTTTAGTGAAGCACCACCATTTATTGATAATTTAAGATTGAGTCCAGGCCCGAGCTGTTCACAAAGATTTCAGACTGGAGCCAGAATAACTTGAATTGAGCCATTAGTCATGGTGCCATTTAGAATTGGATATTACATTTTAGTCCTCTGGTTGAATATACACACACACACACACACACACGTATACAGTAAATATAACACTTGTTGATGTCTATTGCCCATAAAGATAATTAAATCATTGTATACATTACTAATATGACATACCAACTAACTAGTGCAGAGACAAACTGATATTGGAGTTTCCAAAACTAATATAAAGATCATTTGTATATTTGCAAAAAAAGTGAAAGAATGTCAGTGTGTGTCATGCGATAAACGCGGAAGCAGGCGAAGGAAGCCGTGAATAAGCACAAAAGGGATTTATTTTCCAGGGTAACACACATAAAGATGTTGTATGTTGATGCTTCCATGTCCCACTCTCGCCAGTGTGGGGAAGCAATAAAAAAGGCCAACAGAATGTTGGGTTATATCTCTAGGTGTGTGGAGTTTAAGTCTGGGGAGGTGATGTTACATTTATATAATTCCTTGGTAAGACCCCACCTAGAAGTAGGTTTGGTCACCATATCTCAAGAAGGACATTGCTGCCTTAGAAAAGGTGCAACGAAGAGCTACGAGAATGATTCCTGGTCTTAGAGGAATGTCTTATGAGGAGAGGTTAGCGGAACTGAATCTGTTCAGCCTTGAGCACAGGAGACTAAGGGGGGATATGATTCAGGTCTATAAGATTCTAATGGGTCTGGATGCTGTTCAGCCAAATGACTATTTCAATATTAGTCTAAATACTAGAACTCGTGGCCATAAGTGGAAATTAGCGGGAGAACATTTTAAAACAAATTTGAGGAAGCATTTCTTTACACAGTGTGTAGTTAGAGTATGGAATAGTCTTCCTGCTAGTGTAGCGGAAGCTAAAACCATGGGTTCCTTTAAATCAGAGCTAGATAAGATTTTAGCAACTCTGAGCTATTAGTTAAGTTCTCCCCAAACGAGCTTGATGGGCCGAATGGCCTCCTCTCGTTTGTAAATTTCTTATGTTCTTAAGACACATGTAACGTCAATGAAACGAACGGAAACGCGGACTAAATACACTAGACTATAGAATACAATACAATCAGAAACAGCCGTAAAACACTGGGAATCCACATGAGGTTAACGAGGGGGGTGTGGCACAGAAGGATTGGCACAATCGGGGCGTGACAGGACCCCCCCCCCCTAAAGGCGTGCACTCTGGGCGCGCCTAAGGGGAGCGAAGTGACGGGGACACAGGACCTGGAAAACAAAAGCAAAAAACTCAACGGGGCACAGGGAACAAGACAGACACACAGAACAGACACAGACAGCAACTCAGACAACCACCGACAAACAACAGGAAAAGCAAACAGACACAGGGGAAACACAGGAGACACAGGGGGAACACCAACGGGATGAACAAAGGGGCCAGGAGCAGACAAAGGAGAAACAGGAGGACGAGGAGCAGACACAGGGGGCACTAAGGGACCGAAATGCACAGAGGGACCGGGGGTGAACACAGGGGGCAAAAGGGCGGGGGGAAACGGGGAGCCGGAAGGAACCCCGGCAGGCAAGGGGCGGAAGCCGCAGGGGCCACAGGCGACCGCAAGGAGGGAGCAGGAGGGAAGGCCGAAGGTGAGGAGGAAGGCGAAGGGAGGAACGGAGGAGCCAAGGAGGAAGACGAAGGGGACACAGGCGAAGGGGAGGAGGGAACAACAGCCGCGGCAGGTGAAGGCGCAGCCGCCGCCGGCCAAGGCGTAGGCGATAGACGAGTCGGAGGCAGGGGACCCGCAGTCGACCAACGAGGTGTCGGAGGCGGGACAGGAGGCGACCGCCGAGCCAAAGCCAGGGAAACCGCAGGCAAGCGGGGGGGCAGGGTGGGCAGGACCCGGCACCGATGTCCCCTCCCCTTCCGGCAGACAGAGAGGCGGGGACCCGGCCGGGGTCTGCCACACTGGGGTGACGGTGGAGGAGTCACGGGGGAAGTCACGGGGGAAGTCACGGGGGAAGCCAGGGCAATCCCCGAGGGGTCCCACTCAAGGTCCCCCACCAACTCCACTATGGAGGGAGGAGCATCAGAACAGCAGTCTGGGACCTCCTCAGGGACAGGGGCCTCGGGTGGTGCCATCTCAGGCACAGCAGGGGCCACGGGAGCCGCAGGGGGCTGAGCTGGGAGCTCAGGAGCCGCGGGGAGCTCTGGGGGCTGCACAGGGGCCTTGGGTGCTGCAGGAGGGAGCACAGGAGTCACAGGGGACACCATGGGGAGCACAGGGGTCACGGGGAGCACAGGGGACCGGGCAGGAGGCGCAGAAATGGCCTCGGGCAGCAAGCCAACAGGGGGCACCGCAGGAGCAGGAGGCACGGGCGCCTCTGGGGCCGCCGCAGGACCAGGAGGCACAGGCACCTCTGGCGGTGCGGCAGGGACCTCGGGCGGTGTGGCAGGAACCTCGGGGGCGAAGGCAGGAACCTCGGGTACCATGGTGGCCTGAGCAGGGGGCAGCACGGGGACCTCCAGGACCGCTGGGGCCTTAGCGGGGACCACAGGAGCCTCAGAGGGCGGCAACGCAGCAGGGGCCGCATCCTCTTCTGGAGGAGCCAGCTCCGACCGCAAGCGGAGTAGCTGCCTCAGGGTCTCCTGCGCCTGGGTAAGCTGCTGGGATAGGGACTTGGGGGTGACAGCGGCAAACTCCCTCCGGAGCTGCTCCAGGAGCGGAACTGCCTCTGGGGAGTCTCTTATGGCGGGCTCCCTTACCACCCGCCAGTATAGTCCCTGGAGGGTAAAAAACCTCCTTGCTGGATCGCGGCACCACTGGCACCAGAATCACAGGGGGCGCTGCGGGCTCAGGAACCATGGGGGGTGCTGCAGCCTCAGGAACCACGGGGGGAACTGCCCGCTTCCGAAACCGTGGAACCCACAGGATAGCGTCCTTAATGGACCTGACCCCTTTAAGGGCCAGGCACGTCCCGATGAAGGGGCAAGCAGCTGCAGGCTTTGGCAGTGAAGCGGCAGGCGGACGGGCTTCGGGTGTCCGCTCAGGTGAAGCAGCTGTGACGTAACCCGCGAACACTGCCGGGTTGAGAATCAGGCGAGGATTCTCCCACCGCGCAGCAGGGTAAGCGGCGGAAACAGAGACGGCCCCCAGACAGACCTCATGCGTGTCCTCCTGTCTTCTGCTTCTCCGCTTCTTTCTTCTCGTTCCTGCTGCTGCGAGACCAGGCACCTCGTGAGCTGGCTTTGGTGGCCAGTCAGCCTCCGGCCAGTACAGGCTGGGGTCGCAAAAGGTGTAATTCGCCGGGATCATCCTCAGCACCCCTGGAATGTCCTCCCTCAGCCGGTGCGCTGGCGAAGTACCTGGTTTGTATTTATAGAGTCCGGTCATTCTGTCATGCGATAAACACGGAAGCGGGCAAAGGAAGCTGTGAATAAGCACAAAAGGGATTTATTTTCCAGGGTAAAACACATAAAGACACATGTAATGTCAATGACTGGACTGGGGAAACGAACGGAAACACGGACTAAATACACTGGACTAATGACAGCAATCAGAAACAGCTGTAAAACACTGGGAATCCACATGAGGTTAACGAGGGGGGAGTGGCACAGAAGGATCGGCACAATCGGGGCATGACAGTGTGTGCTAATAAGATTCCAAGTTGCTTGAAGAATTTTGGAGGAATTAAAACAAAACAAAAATTTCTGTTGATAACAAACATTCTAAAATATTGAGAAGTTTCAACAATGATTCAAGTGCAACTAAAAGGAGCCCTTTATTACAAAAATGAAATATTAGTAAATGGCACTGTGTGTTAATTTCACATTTTAAGACTCAGAACTGGGTTGCCAACACTTGGGATGGTCTGTGGCTCACCAGGTTAGCTCTATGTTCCTATAATTAAGAGGCTACCGATTTGAGTCCTGTGATTCGATTAATAGTCTTATTGCAGTAACAGCACCCCCTGCCCAGACCTTCACACCTGTGTGTTTTCAAAAAGAAGATATGGTATGTGAAAACTTAAGAATTTCAATGTACTTCTCTAAATGCCAAATGAAGGGTCTTCATGAATTATGTCTACTTCACTAATCTTTTCACTCCTGATAAGCATTCAAGAGGAGGACCAGATTGAACAATCAACATGATTCTGCAATCACCATGCTTGATTATATAGATGTTATAAAGTATGTTCATCATCAGTATATATATATCAGCTTCTTTCTCCTTTTTTCTGCTTTTGTTTTTTATTTTTATTTTTTGTTAATCTGTGCTTGTTGTTTTCACCATTAATAACTTTTCATCATCACTCAAAAACAGCCCTTGGACTTTGAGAGTAAAAAATCCTACACTCTGAAGGTTGAGGCGACCAACATTATAATGGACCTTCGATTTAGCAGTGGAGGCCCTTTCAGAGATACAGCCACGGTGAAGATCACAGTGGAGGACTCAGATGAACCGCCTGTATTCTCGTCAGCTGGTTATCTTCTGCAGGTTCATGAGGATGCTACCGTTAACACAGTCCTTGGGCAGGTGTTTGCCTATGACCCAGATTCCACTGCTAGCTCCATCAGGTGAGACGTGACATTTCACCTATAAATACACAAAACACATGAAGAATCCCAGTAATACATACAGCTCCTTTCCAGGTCTATATAACATACACCATTACAAGTTGGATTGAGTAATTTGCGGCAGTAGTAATTATATGTAGGCCTTCCCATACACAAACAAAAATGTAGGAGCATGTTTTCATTAAAAGAAAAGATGCATTTTAAAAATTCTTAGGCATTAAAAAACATGCAGATGGACTGGCATCCTGTCCAGGGTGTACCTCAGCCTTGTGCCCTGTGATGGGCTGGCATCCTGTCCAGGGTGTACCCCAGCCTTGTGCCCTGTGATGGGCTAGTATCCTGTCCAGGGTGTACCCCAGTGAGACGGCCTTTTTGCCCTATGATGGGCTGGCATCCTGTCCAGGGTGTACCCCAGCCTTGCACCCTGTGTTGCCTTGGATATGTTCCAGCCCCCATTGCCCTGCCCTGACCCTGACTAAGATAATCAGATATAATGTAATTCAGGAGACAAAAGAAAATACACTGTGAGTGACTCATCTATAATTGCATCCCTGTTATTTGACTTACATTAAGAAATATCATCAGGGCACCTTCAGTGAAGGTTATACAGACAATTTTCCTTTTCACTTTGGCATTTCATGAACTCTTCAGTGACTTGCTATGGTTCAGGGGCATTACTAAACAGGCTTGATATAATACAGATGACTGAATGCAGGAGGAAATACAGGATATTGATGTGCCAGTTTGTTCTGGTTACACAGCCTCAATATTTTCCTGGACAATAATTGCGGCTGACCTTCTTCACCCTTATGACTTATAAGGTTTTTGAGATGTGCCATGCCAGAAACATCTGCTTTTTGTTCTCTCAAGATAATAAAATATTAAATCAGGCAAAATGTAAGAATACGTATGCACGTTTTTTATAAATTGGCTAAAAGTTTGATTAAAGAAAAAAATGTTAATTTCATGGACATGAACGTTCACATCTTTGAAAGTTTTCATCTTGAAGGTTTGTATGAATTTGAGCTTAAAATGTAATGTTCCTAGATAAACTGACTCCCAGTGTGATTGTGCAGCTGAGAGCTATTTTTTTTTGTTTCCTGCACTAAAATTATTAAATAAATTTCAACTGAACATAAGTTATATTCTGAGCCATGAATAACAATAATAAATAAACTTGAAGCCTACAAAAAGGACCCAGGAGTTTTACAGGATAATGTTCTGTGACACACATTTGACACAGGCTCAACTTTCATTTGTATGCCATTCATTTTGTAAAAGAGATAAACAGCTAGACACCTCAAACAGAAGACAGAAATTCTCTTGGTAGAATTCCTCATAATCTTGAGTCATTTTGCCAATGAAAGAAAAGGGGAAAGCTGGTGAAATTTCTTAGGGTGACACTGATAAGAGAACTTTCTTTTCAAATAAAAAAAAAATCAATTTTCTTTGTAATGCATTGCATTGTATTCTTATAACACCTCTGACTTTCACACCTCTTTACAAAAAACAAAATCCTTAAAATGGATCCTTAAGCATACTGTATTCGTGGATAAGGTGCATTGGTAACTTAAATATCCTTAAATATTCTTTCTTGTATATTCTGTTTTTTCCACCTACTAATCATTAAAGTTGCTTACATGGATGTTGAAAGAATGTTTAGCGGATGCTAATGATGTTTTTTTTTCTGAAGTACAGATGTTAATGATGTTATTCCACTGACCACTTAATCATTAAGAATATTATTGTGGCTACAGCAATGTACTCATCACTGAGTATAATTGTATACTAATGGTGCAACTTCAATCAAATAAATTTTCTGGTTGGTCTAAGGCTTCTCTAATGTCCCAGATATACACTGTATCAATCTATTGACTATCACATCTGTGCCTGAATGAATACTTAGATGTTTTATGGCTTCCTGGGTCTTTATTTCAACGTTATTCACAGAGTGGCACAATGTCATATAAAGGTGCAGGAAGTCTTTTGTCACGATTCGAAGGACGAAGGACTCGAGGGCAGGCATGTTGACGAAACAGAAACAGGTTTTCATTGAACAAACAGAAAAGGGAGGGTAAACAGGTTCATGGGGGATCAGAAACAGGGGAACTACAAGTAGGGGAAAAATTTAATAAAATAAAATATATAACCAATCAGTACTAATAATTGGAGACACAGACTGCATACTATGAATTCCTATATCACTTTTCCTTTTTTGTAGAATATGCTTTGTATATTATTCAGTTATCTGGCATAGGTGTAAAATGTACATTTTTGTTTCTGACAACTCTATATACTTTATGAGGTTGTTTTCACTTCTCCATTCTTCAGTTACTTATCCATTTTGTAATCCTGATTTTCTTCTATGTTGATATCTGTCCAATATGAAGTTAAGACTTAATGCGGCCATCTATTTTTCCTATATTCTATACATACACCTTTTGCTCATTACTGAATGTTTGAGTCCATATAGTGGATTTTTTTTTCCTTTTGAATAATTTTGTCACTTGAGAAACAAAGGACTCGAGGCCGGGGTAAGGGGAATAAAAAAATGGGAAAAAATCTAAACCAAACCAAACAGGACCACCAATGGTCAAAATGGGAGGACTGGTATAGGAAACGGCACAGGCAACAGGAAAGTAGACGTTAATGACCGGACTGGGGCTGACAAGACAAACAGGTACTTAAATACAAAGACTAATGAGGGACAACAAACAATAGGCATGGCTCATCAAGGCCACGATAGGGAGGAGACAGCAGGGTCTGGCGGACATGATGGGCAGGTCATTACAAATAATCTATGGAACATACAGAGTTTGTATAGGCTTTATGAGGAGATGCAATGTATATGTTCCCTGAAATATTTTTGGTTTAGAGAAAAAAACTACAGGTATTCAACATGTGAGTACAGTTATTTATCAAAAAATGATACCATTAGAAAATGTTGCCACTTTTTTGAGTTTGAAAATTATTTATAGTCACAAAGAAAGTTAATAAAACTGCCAAGCCAGAATTAAATATTCTCATTCTCCTGGAACCAACTCCCTAGTGAGTCCTGCTGTCTGCTTGATGTCTTGAGAGAGATATCCATTCATGACAATACACTGATTATTTACAGCTTCTGTTCTGTTTCTAAACTGTCATGGATGATGTTTCCACATTTGGAACATTATGAGCTGTGGTAATTAGTCACGTATTTAATTTAATTTTTGTTTTATTTTTTTCTCTATACCATAAGCTTTCTACACTCTTTTCCTATTCTATATAAATCAGACTGAGATGAGATACTTTTTCTTATGATTAAAATGTAAACTGTATGCCTTTTCCCAGCAGTTTCAAGTTCAAATAATTTGTTCTACACTATCAAACACGAGAAAAATGAACCATTTGCCCAATTTAAAATAATACACTGTGAGCAGATTAGTATCTTTGCTTACAATGTGTGGCAGAATAAGCCTACACTATATATGCTGAATTCTGCATTGCATAAATCCTTTATGTTTCATTATGAGATTAAGCTGGGTGAGATGGAACACTTCATAGAAGCACATTTACAGGAAAGGCAAAATAATGGCAGGAGGAAGGTGCATTTAAAATTCAATATCCTTATTCTACTGAAATTGGCATGAGTAATAGTGTATTTAGGCAGTCAAAAGCCTATATTATTTACAAAGACAAAGTTATTCATTGGTTGCTCAGAACTTTTAATAACTGTGGGCTAAACCTTATGAAGAGTGAATGTTGGGGGGGGGGCAGGGGGGACTTTGGGAATTGTTATAAATGGTGAATTGTGAATGAATGCGCAATTTACATTCACTGCTGACAAGACTGTTTCTTTGGCAGATACTTAATTGATCGTCACACAGACCTTGAAAGGCAATTCAACATAAACACTGACAATGGAAAGATAATGCTCGCCAAACCACTGGACAGGGAGATGGACATGTGGCATAACATCACTGTGACAGCTACAGAAGTCAGTAAGTATGCTTTTTAAGTTGTTTTTTTTCTTTAAATGTATTCCAATGGTTTCCAGCTAAAGCATTGTTTGAATGCATCTGTGCTTCTGACGCTGGGAATTAGTGTTTGGATTCACATTCCAAAATGCTACTTTATCCCCTGAACAGTAATTGAGTTGAACAGATCAGTAGTTCAATTTGTATCAAAAAAATGAAAAGAAAGAAAGTGCATTAAGATTTCTGCAATAAACAAATACTCACATTCACAGAATATTATACAATCATGCCAGTGTTCAAAGGAGATAAAATAACCTTTGGGATCAAGGGAACTGAAATACTTGGGGAAAAAGTCTTTGAAGCATATTATAGAGAATGAAAATATGCAAAAGTCTATTTAATATGCCTTGTATTAGTATGGTCGACTGTACTAGGGAATAAAGCTTAAACAAATTGTTTCCTTTTTGTTTGTTTCATTTTTAGAAGTATTAATGTTACAAGGTTTAAAAAGACAAGCACATTACTGTTCAAATCAAAGATTTAAATATTGTCTTATGCAATTAAAGGTAAACAGAGCCCTTAGACTATTATATAATTCTTCTGCACTGCATTGAAAGAGCAGAGATTTCTGGCACCACAGCACCACACAGAACACATTGCAGGACCGCTAGGAAAACACAAATATAAAAAAAAAAAATGAAATTAACAAATAATTAACAAAAAAAGTAGGTAAGTTAATTAATGTTTGTTAGGTAATCAATGATCATGATAATTACACATGAAGTTATTGTTGATAATGAATTAATTAAAATGTTCTTCAAAATACCAGTGACATGCTAAAGTACTGCTGGGGCATCAACCTACACCTCCTTGAGTTGCAGTCAGACAGTGTGGATTTTTTGAAAGCTCTGGAGAAATCAAAGAACATGATTGTGACCATACTGTACATACAGTTGGCTCTGTGGAGCATGAAGATCAGTATATTATCTAGCACTATATGGGCCTGGAAGGCTAACTGGAGAGGGTCCAAGTGGTCCTTGACTAAAGCATTGGGTTGTTTAAATAATAGCCTTTCGATGGTTTTTATGATATGTTCAAATCTGTAATCCACAGGGGCTGTGGGTCACACATCATGTGTACTGATACTTTCTGAATGCTCAAAGAAAGGGTGAATGTGTTTTGAAAAATTCTTTGGATGTTCTTTGGACATTCAAGCACACACTCTTTGAGCACCCTTGGGTTCATCCTATCCAGACCTTGCTTGTGTTGGACTTCCATAGTTCTATACTTACTTGGTCCAGAGGGATACACAGTCTATGGGGAGAAGTGGGGTTTCAAATTTTAGAGGTACTTTCTTCTGTAGCATAGGGGACAGAAGAGGAAGCAGGGGAGAGATGGTCTGTAGTGAGGAAAGGGTGAATGAATAGGAGGATAGCAGGTGAGTGAGGGGCTGAAACTTATTCATTTGCCACCCTGGAGCTAGAGGTGCAAAGGTAGGGCTTAGTGGCACATTGGTGTCAAATACAGTCAACAATCTACATTGATTACAATGACTGACACTAATCTTTTGACTGGCTGCCAAAGTGTTTTTTTCCCCTTGGATGAAGGTGCAAAGAGTAATGTTTGTAAACAAAAAATCTGTCTGGGATGCACATCTCCATCACTGTAGGCCGATGCAGTACACATCGCAATGCATTGCTACTGATTCGATATATTCAAAATGCATATGGTAAACACTTTACATGAGGGGGCACAAGTCACTTAGTAACCCAGTTACTTCTCAAGTACAAATCAGGAACAAAGTAACTGCATGAAATACACAAACTATTATTACTAATTAATGATGAACAAACATGGGGAAAGTATATAACTAACACTTAGTTTCTGGTTAATTAATACATTAAGTAAGAGTATACTGCTACATTATTTGTGCCCCTCGAGAAGTGTTACCGAAGCAACTACCAACGTGATACAATATGATTCACCCCTATTGCGATTTAGTGCAATTCAACATGTTTTGATTCAAGACAATGCAATTCAACATGCAAGACTTGGCTGAGAGATTTGATGAGAATTGGCCACTGAAAGCAGTGGAGAACTGAAGATGAGAGAGCATGATTGAGAAACAGTTTAGATAATGGGAATCTATCTAACTAAAAAATTATTGGTCAAAAAATATTGGTCACATTTCCAAATAGTAAAGGCATAGAGCCTATAGTAACAAATTAATAAATCAGATTCTACCGATGCACAGATATTAGAAACAATGCGTCCCAAGTTCATCACAAATGATATCGGGTGCACACTATTTAAATCAGGGCAATTTCATTTTGAATTGGCACACCAATGAAAATTAGTGAATTTTACCATCCCTAGTATATACCACTCAGCCTCCATGAAACCTTTTTCTTGTTATAACAACATACATATCTAATTATAACAAGATCATTTTTACGTAAAACAAGAATCTTTTCTCATCATAATGAGATATACGTATCTTGTTATAATGAGAAACTGGGTTTGTTTCTTTTTTGTCATGGTGGCAGCAATACATCATTGTACCTGCTTAACATTTGATATTTTTGTTTGTTTGTTTTAACCCATTTTCATTTTTTCAGACATGTCTTTGGATAATATGAGCAGGATAATACGACCATGTTGAATAATAAACAGAAAAATGTTTTTTTTCTGGGATAAGCTCCCAGATCACTGCAACCATGAACCAGTTCCAGGAAATGAATTAATTCATATATTTATTTGTTTGTATGTTCACTCAATCATTCATTTATTCCATTGTGTTTCAGGAAACCACAGTCAGATCTCTAGAACTACTGTGACCATTAAAGTTTTAGACATCAATGACAATGCACCTCAGTTTGCCAAAGACAAGGAGGTGTTCCTCTGTGAAAATGGAAAACCTGGTCAGGTGAGGATATCATGCTTGTCAGTGATCTTCCTTTCACCTACGCAAGTATTTTTACTCATTATAAATTATAGCTTATGGGTTTAGCAGAAAAGCACATTTTAGGTTGAAACAAAAGAAAAGGAAACATTTAGTGGGAAAAAATAGTGAAATGTAATAATATTACTAGTCATGCAGAGATGCATCTTGCTATCCCCTTTTGGTGTTTTTAAAAGCATTTTCTACTTGTGTACTGATTATGTGCATCACTCTGCATAAGAATGTTCATTTTGTGAATAAACTGCAAATATTATTTAAAATGAAAACATCTCTCTCTTGTTACAAAGAATACATGGTATTTGTCTGAGAATTTCTAGAACAAAACATTTGTTATATATGTATGTGTCACGGTGCGGGGCAAACGAGCCGGAAAGCAGGCGATTGCAGCCAGAAATGCGGACAGAAGGGATTTATTTAGGTAGACTGACGAGGAAACAGGAACAACGCATGACACTACAATGACGGATCTGGGGAAGACTGACTCAGACAAGGACTAAATACAAAAGGCAAGCTAGACATAACAGGACACAGGTGATCACAATCAGGGCTGAACACGAGGTAACGAGGTGGGCGTGGCACACATCAGGAGCAGACGGAGCAGGGTGTGACAGTATGATCTTAGTAGTATTATATATTTTTATTATTATATTGTTGCTTGTATAATACTGTGAAAACATCACAGTTATGGAAAACAATAAAACATATATATGTATTCTTGTGTTTCTCCACAGGTGATAGAGACTGTCAGTGCCATTGACAAAGATGACCCAATTAATGGACACGTTTTCATCTATAGACTGGCATCAAACAATCCAAATTTTACAATAAAAAACAATATAGGTAAATTGTGGCTGTTCCATCAGCATGCATTGTGATATTTATAGTTCCAGTTATATCAAAGGACACACAGTAGGTCATTTCACTTGATGTATAGAAAGGCGTAATTTCAGTGCAGCAGATGGTACTCAATGTGTTTGCTAAATACCATAATTGGAAGGCTAAATTAATGTTTTTGTCCTCTATTACACATGCTGGAGGTTTTGTCCACAACCTGATGGTGCATTATAATTTCTAAGGAGCTCTCAGCAAAAAAAAAATATCTTCATTTGGCTCCTTCATCTGCTATAAAACCCAAAGGGAAGTGACTACTTGTTTTATTGGAATCTGACTGTTAACCCACATTACTTCCTCTTTCCACCCAGGTCAATTTGAGAAAGATGTAAAACTTTATAACTTTTATTTAAAAATGTTTTGAATGAGACACCTGTTGGGTAAATGAGTGTGTAAGAATTTAATGCTAGAGAACATAATTACACTTAAGTCTGCCTGTGACTCGTAACAGAGTTTGTCATACAGTATTGTCTACTAGCAAACATATTTATCCATACAGTAGTTAATCCACTGTTATTGCTATTGTCTATCCCATTTTTCATTTGCTATATGGAATGCTTGGGGGATAGAATGCCCTTGATAATCATTAATTCAAGATGAAGCATCATGTCATAAAACTCTTAAAACAATGCAATTGGGAAGCAAATTATAATATCAGTGGCTTCCTGTAATGTCACTGGAAACACGTCTAAAGCTTATGAGCATGCTGTGAATATTAATGTGGGATCATATCAACAACTAATCTTCAAAGCTTATGCAGAAAGTGTGCAGGTCTTGATTTGAAGGGGAAAAAATATCTGACAGTCGAGGTTGGTTTAAGCAGATATATTATTCATTGTGCTTGTCTTTGTTGCAAGGCGAAGGTAATAATTTCTGATATCATGAGATCCTTGTACTGTCATGCTCCTTAGCAAAGGGTCAGGGCTGAGACATCTAGGGATTATGGAACCTGTTTCAAAGTCCCACGGAGCAGTGTGTGTCTGACAGGCGGTTAACTGAATTAACAGATGGAGAGCTCTAAACACTTGTTCTTTGAAGGTTGGTTCACAATATTTCCTTGCATTAAAATATTTTTATCTTAAAGTAACACTTATTTCCCCCGTGACGGGTTGGTGCCCCATCCTGGGTTATTCCCTGCTTTGACCCTGTACATTCCGGGATAGGCTCCGGACCTCCTGCGACCCTGAATAGGACAATAGGAATAGGTTATAGAACGTGTATGAATGTATAACACTTATTTTGAAATATGCTTTGGAATACATTTTGGCACTTGACCAGGGGAACTTCAGTGCAAAACCTAGAGTACAGAACGTGATGGTGATAAAACAGAGAAGTNGATCACAATCAGGGCTGAACACGAGGTAACGAGGTGGGCGTGGCACACATTAGGATCGAACAGAGCAGGGTGTGACAGAACCCCCCCCCAAAGGCGCGCACACCGGGCGAGAGGAGTCCCGAGAGGAGGCGACGGACGAGACGAGACCGGGGAACAGGACCTGGAAGACAAAACCAAAAACCATCAACGAAGAACAGGGAACAAGACAGAGACACAGAACAGGAACAAGGACGAAACGAAAGACAGGACACGACAAAGAACCGGAAAGGCAGACAGGCAGACAGACAGACAGAGAAAGGAGACACAGAGGGGACAGAAAACGGAGGAACAACAGGGCGAGGAGAGAACACAGGAGACACCGAGGGACGAGGAGCAAAGACAGGAGGGACAAAGGGACCAGAAGGGAACGGAGGAGACACAGAGGGACGAGGAGCAGAAACGGGCGGGCGGGACGGCGGGAAAGGGAGGAGGAACCAGGGGAGCCCGAAGGAACCCAGACGGGCGACGGGCAGCGGCCGGAGGGGCCGCAGGCGAGAGGGAGGAGGGAGCAGGAGGGGACCACCCAGGGGCCAAGGGAACGGGACGAGGGAGTGATGGAGGGGACACGGAAGGAGCAGGAGGGAACACCGGTGCAGGCAGGCAGGAGGGGGAAGCCGCGGCTGGCGGAGGCGTAGCCGGAGCCGGGGAAGGCGCCGTCCGACACAAAGCCGGAGCAGGGGGGCCCGGAGGTGGCCAACACGGAGCCGGAGGCGGGACCGAGGACCGGCACCGAGGAACCAGGGGGGGATCCGGAGGCGACCGCCGACCCCGAGCCGGACGACCCGCAGGCAGCCACCGAGCCACAGCCAGGGGCCGAACGGGCGAGCCAGGGGGCAGGGCGGGCGGGACCTGGGCCCGACGCCTGTGTCCCCGTCCCTTACGGGAAACTGACAGGCGGGGTCCTGGGGGGTGTCGGCCTCGCTGAGGCAAGGGTGAGGGAGTCATGAGGGAGGTCGGTGCTGGGCGGACAGAAGTCAGGGCCTCTAAAGAGGCAACAGGCGGGGCAGCCGGAGCCGGGGACAGGACTGGCAAGCCGGGCTGGACGGGAGAGCCGGGCAGACCAGATGCCGGCAGGACAGGCGAGACAGGCAGATCAGGAGGGGGCACCTCGGCAGGCGCCTCGGTCGTGCGGCCAGTAGGAGGCGCCTCGGCAGGCACCTCAGTCATGTGACCAGCAGGGGGCGCCACGGGCAGAGCGGCCTCCTCCGCTGCAGGTGGAGGCGAAGCCAGGCCCTCGGGCGGAGCTGCAGCGGGCACCCTCAGTTCCCGGCCAGCAGGGGGCGCCCCGGTGGGCACCGCCATCACGCGGCCAGCAGGGGGTGCCTCAGCCGGCGCCGTCATCACGCGGCCAGCAGGGGGCGCCTCGAGGGGCGCCGCCATCACGCGGCCAGCAGGGGGCACCTCGGGGGGCGCCTTGTAAAGAGCGGCGGCAGCTGCAGCAGGCAGTGCAGCTGGAGCTGCGGGCAGGACAGGAACAGGCGGGTCAGGAGCAGGTGGGTCCAGAGCAGGCTGGACCGACGAGCAGGGCTGGACGGGCAGAGCGGCGGCCTCAGGCAGGGCCGCGGGCAGGACAGGAACGGCGGCCTCAGGCGGGGCCGCGGGCAGGACAGGAACGGCGGCCTCAGGCGTGCGGCCAGCAGGGGGCACCTCAGCAGGTACCTCGGGCAGAGAGGCGACAGCTGCAGGGACCGCAGGCGGGTCAGACAGAACAGGCAGTGCCGCTGGCAAAGCGGCGGCAGCTGCAGCAGGCGGTGCCGCGGGCAGAGCGGCGTGAACAGCAGCAGGCGGTGCCGTGGGCAGAGCAAAGGCAGCAGCAGCAGGCGGTGCCGCGGACAGAGCGGCGGCAGCAGCAGCAGGCGGTGCCACGGGCAGAGCGGCGGCAGTAGCAGCTGGTGCTGCAGGCGGTGCCGCGGACAGAGCGGCGTCAGCAGCAGCAGGTGGTGCCGCGGGCAGAGCGGAGGCAGTAGCAGCTGGTGCTGCAGGCGGTGCCGCGGACAGAGC